CAGGAAGGCCTGGCGCGATATGGTTCATGGGGTAACGAAGAGTCGGACACAACTTAACGACTAAACAACAACAAGTAAACAAGAGGAGAGAGCTGCTACAAAGGTCATAAATGTGAGGACTGGTCGCTAAGTTGTTTGAGCACTGTTGTAACCTCAAATGGTCACTAAACAAGGCAATCGCTAAGCAAGGACTACCTGTATTCTATGAATGCATTAATTGTAATTTTGAATATGGCAAATATCGATCAATATAACCCATACAAACCAAAGCTCCTTGGGGGTCCTCCATGATTTTTAAAAGTGGGAAGGGGTCCTGAGAAGAAAAAGCTTAAGAAACGCCAGCCTAGAGGAATCCAAGCCCATATTCTTCCCCTTTCGAAGCTCCCCTCTTCAAGCAGCGACAGCAGGATCGCCTGTCTCCCTCAGTGGGAAAGGCCACTTCTACAATGGCGACAGAGCAGGTAGAAATTACACCGGTGAGTTCTCTCCCAGCAAGATACTCTCCCAGCGGATTTCTGTCTGCCACGAAGCGAAACCTTAAACATGCCCCAGCCGGAGAGGGAGGGAGCACAGTCGGGTTCTTCGGGGCCCTCCTCCTCCCCTGGCACGAAGGGGAGCCACTTACGCTCTCAGGGCGCTGCTTTCCTCCTGCACGGCGCTCTTCCGTCTCTTCGGGGCTCTCGTCGCCCCGCAGTGACGTCACCAGCAGCCGAGGCCCTCCTTCCCACCGCCGACGCTTCCCGGGGGGCTTTTCCTAGTCGTCCGACCGTCCGAGAACCTTGCCTGTTTGGCGTTGCGCCAGAGTTCAGGCGACCCGCCTTCAGAAGAAACCCTCGAGCGACCCGTCCGCCTCTTCGGCGTGGCCAGGGCTGCGAGGGGCTCTCCGTTTCCCCCCAAGGTCGCTCCGTTTTCCGTCAGGCAATGAAATAGACATGAGAGGCTCAGAGCAGGCCGCCGTCGGGCGCTCGCCACGGGAAAGGGGTGGCTGGGGACCTAGAGCGACGCCGGCTCCGTTTCCGTTTCCGGGTCGCCTCCCAGCTCGGGGCGAAGCGAGGCGTGAGGGGAGGCGGGAGGACTCGCTCGCCGTCGGAGCCGCCATCGTTGCCTGACCTCGCTATGCCCAAAGGAG